CAAATTAGTTTTTTAACATCCTCTTTTAGTGGAAAGAGCTTGTAAGGATCAAGCCATAACAAACCACTTAGCTGATCGTTATATTGTAAAATCATTCTGCTCAACTTTTAGTACCGTTCATTCAATATATTTCTAGCGTTGGATGTGACAGGTACGTACTCTATAGTGCTTTATTTTTTTACTTCTAGACCAAGGAACAGGTGTTTTTCATTTGTCAATGACATCACATTTCAATGAGGTTTTCTGTTCAAAACTTTGCGACTCGAACACTCTTGACGGCCTTCTGATTGTGAAGGCGTGTTCGCCACGGCGCGGCTAAGATCAAAGGATCTGCTAAGGAAGGCAACTGGAGTCTTAAGCCATGAGGCAGGTGTCCGCTTCCAGAAACTATCGATGTTCCAGAGGAATGTCCACTCTCTATAAAGAAAATAACGAATAGTAAGAAAAGTTAATATTCAGCAAACAACCTTTTGCATAAGACTTTGCCAAACTGTGAACAGCTGCAAAAGGATGATAGTAATGACCATACTGTAAAAAAAGATGATTTTTCAGTGAAATTCCGATAGGTGCTCAAAATTTGAATTGGAAAGAATATGGCTTCATATATGACCTGTACCGAGAACATATGGTGGTAGCTAATGCAGCAGATACAGGAACAGCAGAAAGAGATGGAACCACAGGTGCAACTGGAGCGACAGGAAATGCTGCAGCTACTGGAGCGGCGTGAACATGTGCTACGGGATAGTGTATGTGTTTCGGCTCTACACTAAAAGCGGGCTCTTCTAGAAATGGCTCAGTAAAGAATAACTATAAGCTCGGTTAAAAAAAACTGTTAAAACCTTCTTCCAAGGTGCTTGCGTAGGACCTGAAATTGTACATATTGATCAAGAAAAATTTCTATAATTCTTCTTCAATTCTTTGGGCCGTTGTTCCACTAGTTTAATCGGAGTTATTTTGCTTTGCTATTAGATTCCATAGCTGCGAATTCGTAGAACGATTGAGGTGAATTGCTCTTAAGAAACACCCACCTTTAGGCAAATATGATTAATAAGGAAAAAATGAAGTAGAAGGAATTCATAACTGTTGACAGCGTCTCCATCTATGCCAGAGCTTCATTTATAGTAACAGCTTGTACTGTAAGCGCTGCTTTATAAACAAAGCATCAAGTGAATTCGACGTTTCTAGTTGGCAACAGTTTTACTCAGCCTCTTGATACCAAGGTTCAATTCATC